AGTTATTTATATTTATATATATATATATATATATATATAGTGTGTGTGTGTGTGTGTGTGTGTATATATATATATTATATATATATATATATATATATATATATATATATATATATATATATGTGTGTGTGTGTGTGTGTGTGTGTGTGTGTGTGTGTGTGTGTGTGTGTGTGTGTGTGTTCATTTATTTATTCATTTATATTCATAATACACATATATTCATATTGATATAATTACAAATGTTTATTGCTAAAAGAAAAAAAAGTATGTGTACTGCAGCGAAAAAAATTTTTTGTACATCATATTAGAAGAAAAAATTATACTTATCATGAAATTAACTTCACTGATGGAAGCAATCAGAAGGTAAATTAAGATAGGAGTTACAGAAAAAAATACATTTTCGTAAATTAAATTAATATTGAAAAAGATATCTAGTATTGTGTTTCTTATTTCAGACAGTAATCTTCACCAAATTATAATCGATTAAGAGCAATACAAATATGATAAGAGTGTGTGTGTTTCGTGCGTGAAAAGTGTGTGTGAGAGAGAGAAGAAAAAGAGACAGAAAGACAGAGAGGGCGAGTAGAAAGAGAAAGAGACAAAGCTAGAGAGAAAGACAGAAAGAGAGAGGCAAGGGGTTAGAGAAAGATCCAAAGAGAGACAGACAGACAGACAGCCAGAGACAGAGAGAGAGAGGGAGTGTGTGTGTGTGTGTGTGTGTGTGTGTGTGTGTGTGTGTGTGTGTGTGTGTGTGTACATATATGTGTGTGTGTGTGTGTGTGTGTGTGTGTGTGTTGTATATTTATGTATATATATATATATATATATATATATATATATATATATATATATATATATATATATGTGTGTGTGTGTGAGTGTGTGTGTGTGTGTGTTTGTGTGTGTTGTGTGTGTTGTGTGTGTGTTGTGTGTTGTGTTGTGTGTGTGTGTGTGTGTGTGTGTTGTGTGTGTGTGTGTGTGTGTGGACAGATAGACAGATAGATAGTCAGATGTGTTTCTATCAGATATATTTATATCTCTAAGCCTGTTACCTTAGAATTTCCAAGCACCCGTGTTGTTTCAAGCATCATGTGAGGTATTCAAGGAAGGGACGAATGAGAGGGCCGTGAGGAGAGGAGCTTGAGAGATTTCGAGAATTTAATTTACAGCTTTAATACAAATATATCAACAGTAAGACGAACAGCAAAGATCATGCGGCGTTCTTGGTTTTGGTCTGAATCTGTTGCCCTGTTTTTTTTTTTTTTTTTTTTTTCTTCTTTTTTATGTTGTGCCTTGTCACCCATTGCCTTTCCCTCGGCTGCTTGTAGTCTCGCCTCGGGAGTGCTTTCCGAATGAAATGCTTCGGTCTCATTTCCATAGGTCAAAAAGGATTACATGTGGTAGAGCAGACACCTCCCTACTCTTCAGAATGGAAAAAGGAGCTGGTATGACCGGTAGTGCAGTAGACCGAAAAAGCAATCGATATGAATAATTTGGTTCACCAAGTTGTACTCCAAAGCCTTATTTATTTACAGGAAAATAGTGGAAATCCAGTTGAGGCAGATGGAACTATGAGCTGTATAAACTTTCAGATTCATAGATGATGTTTTATTCAGTTCTCACTTTTGATCGCAATTTTAACCTATGGAGATGGGACCGCCTTCTGCAAAAAGGGAAGACGATACTCAGTGCAAGAATATGCAACTTCCCTTCGATTTTTGCATATTCTCTTCATGAAAAGGGAGAAATATGAAGAAAATCACGTTTTTTCACTTCTACGAGGATGCAGAATTTTAGAGAATGGTACCATATATACAAGGCCGAAAAAATGAGCATGACAACACCAGGCAATTTCTGTTTGAATGCAATGAGCAATCCCATTTTCTGGGTCAGAAATTGAGGCCGTAGCAAGAGGCGGCACATACCCGTCTCCTTCCCCTTTCTATGAGACAAAAGTTTCATGTCCTTCAAGTAAGAATGATAAAACTGGTTCGAAATCGCTTTTTCTAAAATAATAATAATAATAAATAAATAAATAAAAATAAGATATAAAGTTTAAATAAATAAATAAAAAATAAAAAATGAATAAATAAAAAATAGGTAAACGAATAGATAGATAATCGACATTCCAAGAGAAGGGAGGGGTCTTTTGCTTCAAATTATTTTTGGTTTAGATTTTGTGGAATGCATTTTTTAAAATCTGGTTTATGTTTTATTTCTCTAGTTCTCTTTGTGTTCAGTCGGCTGCATCGTCATCTTATGAGTACACAAGCAATAAGAACAATTAAAGACATGTTCTATCAAGTAGTTAGGTATTTTCGGTAAAGCTTAGCAAATTTCCCTATAACTGCCTTGTTTCAGAGTAGCAGAATAGTCGTAGAATATTCTATAATCATCGGCTGGACATCAAAGATTATAAATTCAAAAATGTCACGAACCTTTTAATAATCTGATGAAAGCTATGGACCCCCTTCCCTTCAGAAACATAATTAGTAACACAACTTTACAAGCAATAAGTATATGTACTTTTTATGTGTCTGATGTGTGTTTCATACATATATGAGACGCATAAAGCGTTGTTGCATTTTAAAGTAAACCATATAAACAATAACGGTGATAAAGATAATAAATAAATGTTAATCTTTCCCGATCCTCACGGTCCCCTGAAAGCCACCCATGGACGCCAGGGGAAGAATCCTCGCTCTAAAGGCCCTATCACACTATCCCTTTTTCCGTCATTTTTTGCGTTTCCGTCTGAGTCTGAGGCTCTCCGCAAGTATCGTTTGCAAACGGAACGCCTCCCAGACGAAGACGGTTACGACCGTTTCCGTCTGACTTAATTTCCGTCATGATCTTGTTATTAATAGATTAGATCGGATGAGTGAATGTAAACATAAGCTAATATTTTTAGAACATTCGTATATACAATAATTATCACATTTCTTTAAAATAACGTAATATGTATGAAAATGTTCGTGTGATTCCCGGGACCTCACTCCGATAGCGCCATGTTTGTTTACATGAGTCAGTCGATTTTTCATGCGGAAAGTTCACTCGGAAAATTGGCGGAAAAGGTGATATAGTGTGAGAGGGTCTTAAAGGGCTTTGGAGGGACAGAGATCGGCATCAAGGGAGGGGAAAGACCTCTCACTTTGGCCTGTTTGCTGACATTATTATCGCTATTACTTTGATTTTATTATTGGCTTTGTTACTATAAGCATTATACGTATCATCATCGCCATTACCAGTAGTATCTTTACTACTATCATTACTATCATTACTGTCATTGCTGTATTGCTGATGTCAGTATTTTTTCCTGCTATTCTGTAGAAACTTTAATGATGATTGTTATGACTTTAATCATTATCCTTACCATAATTATTGACTATTTAGATCATCGAGAGCAGAAGAGACTGGATATGGCTTTCGGT